TAAAGAATTTCTTGTAAGTGTTGGCCAATAGTTTCTCATTGATCATAGTCCCATTCAGTTGAATAACAACCAAGGAGAAGTTTAATACAGGAAATTTTAAAGAGTGGGTAATAGTTTGTTTGGTGTTTGGTGACGTTAAAAATAAACGTAATAAATTAATTTCTGAATGTAGAATGTAGAATGTTTGGAAGGGATTTGTTCAGTATAGCTGCCACTGGATCTTTGCGCAGGTTAGAGCCCAGAACAGTATCTGTTAAGGTACTCGAATCCATAGTCTGTGAACCTTCACCACCAGATATGTAGTGTTCTGTAGATGTAAGGGACCGCCCGGCGGTACCACTAGCACTCCACTGATCGGCCGTTCCCAGCGTACGGAGTCTAAGCCCCAGAGTACTTGTTCACCAGAGCCCCTGATGGTGGGGATGGACTTGGAGTACCCTGGGACCAGGTCGTGACTACTGAGGACACCCGTCAGTGGTAGGGGTATTCGCCAGGGGCTCCCACGGGAGAGAGCCAGGTATGAGGAGGTCTGGAGACCCCGTTGAGAGGGATGGATGGATGGATGGATGGATGGCTGAGCAAGTGCAAGGTCATACAAGCCGGGTCGGTAACTATGGGGACGGTGCGGTACAGAGCAGCGGGCAAAGAATAGTCGGGTCACACGCCAGGTCAGCAACAGCAGGTCAGATCCAATAGGGGGCATTCAGGAGAGAGGTCAGGCAAGCAAGGGTCCAGAACAGGAGAAAACAGCAAGGTCAGGGCACAATCCGGGTCAATAACTTACTACAACAGGTTCACAGGTACACAGGATTCAAGGAGACCAGAAGGCACTGAATGACAGCTCAGGGCCGTTTAAATATCCCGCCCTGCGCTGTCATTGGTGCCAGGCGCGCGCCCGCGATCTCTACTGCGCATGCGCAAACTTGGTTGCCGGGGTCGGCCAGGTCCCGGCGCCCGCGTTCCTGCACAGGGCGGCGCACTGCGCCTGCGCCGAGCCCAGCGGCGCGGCGATCCCCGACAGTAGATCATCATTATGTTGAGTAAGGAGCCATCTATTGGGCATTCACCACAACTTTTTTATTCCTTTCAACAAGAATAGGGAGTGTCTTGTTAATAAAGATTTACCATCTGCCACTGCAGCCATTTTAGCTTCCTGAAGAACACATGTGAAGGTCTCCTTCACTTCTCACTTCACAACTATGTGCCACTTTGTGTTGGTCTATCACCTAAAATCCCAATAAAATACATTTACGTTTTTGGTTGTAACATGACAAAATGTGGAAAATTTCAAGAGGTATGAATACTTCTCCAAGGCACTGTATATTGAACATTATGTATGGCCCTTTGGTGATGTCAGGGTCCACATTTGAAGCCTCCTTTAGCTCTTAAATTTACAACAACTGATGTAATGTGTTTAAATCATAGACTTCTGAAGCAGCACAATGGCCAACTGGTTAGCACTTTCCCCTAGCAACACCAGGGTCACCAGTTTGAATCCTAACCAAGGCATAACCTGCCTGGAATTTGCATGTTCTCCCTGTGTTTGTGTGGGTTTCCTCCCACACTCCAAAGACAGGTTGGTTGGCTCCTGTCTAAATTAACCATAGTATCAATGTGAGTTAGGGACCTTAGATTGTAAACTTCTTGAGGGTGTGGATGGATGGGAATGTACAATATATACGTAAAGCAGTGTGTAAATTGATGGTACTATATAAGTACCTGTAATAAGTAAAAGTACTCCTCCTATCAGTCCATCCCCCACAGTTACTACCTTATGTATCACTAGCCCCTCCCTCTTAGATTGTAAGCTCCAAGGATCAGGCCCTCCTAACCCTCTTGTATTGAACTGTATTGTACTCCCATTATATTGTAAAGCAAACTGTCGGCGCTATATAAATCCTGTATAATAATTATATAATAATATAAAAAAATATTATGTTCTACTAGGACAACTCTGTACATTTTGTACATCAGAGCGTGATCAGCTAGGATAGGTCCAGAGATCTCCCTGCCTATATGCACATCACATTGAAAGTGTAATCATAACCCTTTATCCCTTCTCTGGTTCACCGAGTCTATATACACACACAACGCACATACACGTCTCTCAAAAAGCAGCAGCTTGTTTTGATATGCAAATTCCAGAGCATGCACTAATTCCTCTCGGAAGGTAAGTAGGTCGTTTCCCCTTATCCTGATATCTTTGCTAATGAGTGAACAGGATGCTTCCCCCCCCCCCTTCATTCTCCCCGCCGCCTTGCCGACTTCATAAATATTTGGATTGCTGTAAATTTCTTAATTGAAGCAATTGATTTTTGCCTGAAAAAAGTGGCGATATCTTAATTTATTAAAGCCTCAAACAACATCCTGTGGGCTAAATAGAGTCATTTGTAACCTTTAGTGATGTATTAACAATGTGTAGGCATTTCAGCGCATATTTTAAAAAGTGCACCATTAACAGGAAACGGCTGCGAGAAGAAAAAAAAAGGGGGGGGGTGGAGACGGGGAGGAGGGGGGGAGAAAAAAAAAGTTTTTATATATATAAAAAGAAAAGGCCTGCAGCTTTTCTCGCTGCATTTTAAGGTCTGTGTTTAAAATACTGGCAGGCTGGCTGAGTGATAAATGTAACTGTATAAAAATTACTTATTACAAGCTGTCAGGTTTCCTCACTCTCGCGCTGTGGGCTGGAGGCGCCGCGCTGCAAAACTCAAGTTCCTACCTTGATGGAAGCAGCGCAGGTTTTAAAAATCAAATGCTTTTCAGGCAGGAGTACAAAGCGTAATTTAACTTTTCATAATGTGGCATTTTAAAAGCCGGTTCAAAGCTGGTGTTACTGTCATTTTTACCTGCGTTGTAGGTAACCGGTTTAATATTAAATCTGTCAGTTGAGTTTTTTTGTGGTTGCTTTCCATATATATATATATATATATATATATATATATATATATATATATAAAGTGAAAAATAAAATTGAGGGAAAATATAGGCCACGTTTGCACTTATCATGCCGAGTGAAATGCTGAAATCGCAGTTAGTTTATTGAGCCTTTATTTCTTTTAAAGAGTTTCTTGTAGGGGCCTAAGAAAAAGTTGCAGAGGGATTTAGGGATTCATGTTTGTAACTTCTTTACTAAACACAATCACAAAAATCTCATATAAGCAGCCTTGTCAGTTGCCAGGCGAGCTTCTTCATTTGGACATTGGATTACTACATAGTTGATAGACCTGATAGGCAGCTCAATGGCTGACTGAAGGAGCACACATGGCAGCCTGACAATGCTGCTGCTATTTGTGAGTTGTCACCCTTAAAAGAGGAGGTGTGGTTGCTGGCAGGATCTCCAGGAAAGCAACTTGGCAATACTTACCTCTAAAGACTACAGAACCCCTTCCCTCTAAGTTATAGAGACGAGGAGAGGGGTGGGGATTATATAGGTATGTCCTAAGATGACAATCCTGCCTGTCCATAGATGCTGTATGCTGGGTGAATGTTGTCCCCCCGGGCAGGAAGTGTTGTTGCTGGCAGGATCTCCAGACAAGCAACTTTGCATAGTTATCTCTAATAACTACAGAACCCCTCCAATCTATGTTATTGAGAAGAGGACAGGAGGGAAGATTCCATAGTTATGTCCTAAGATGAAAACCCTGCTTGTCCATAGATGCTGTATGGTGAGCGAGTGTTGTCCTCCTAGGACAGGAAGTGTTGTTGTTGGCAGGATCCCCAGACAAGCAACTGTGTAATAGTTATCTCTAATAACTACAGAACAACTTCCCTCTTTGTGATTGAGAAGAGGACAGGGGGAAGATTCCATAGTTTAGTCCTAAGATGACAACCCTGCTTGTCCATAGATGCTGTATGGTGAGTGTTGTCCTCCTAGGACAGGAAGTGTTGTTGTTGGCAGGATCTCTGAGTAAGCAACTATGCAATAGTTATCTCTAAAGACTACAGAACCCCTTTCCTCTTTGTCATTGAGAAGAGGACAGGGGGAAGATTCTATAGTTTAATCTTAAGATGACAACCCTGCTTGTCCATAGATGCTGTATGGTGAGTGAGTGTTGTCCTCCTAGGACAAGAAGTGTTGTTGCTGGCAGGATCTACAGGTAAGCAACTTTGCAATAGTAATATCTAAAGACTACAGAAACCCTCCACTCTGTTATGTAAAAGAGAAAAGAGGAAGGTTCTATAGTTATGTCCTAAGATGACAACCCTGATTGTCCATAGATGCTGTCTGGTGAGTGAGTGTTGTCCTCCTAGGACAGGAAGTGTTGTTGGCAGGATCTCCGAATAAGCAACTATGCAATAGTTATCTCTAAAGACTACAGAACTCCTTCCCTCTTTGTCATTGAGAAGAGGACAGGGGGAAGATTCTATAGTTTTATCCTAAGATGACAACCCTGGTTGTCCATAGATGCTCTATGGTGAGTGAGTGTTGTCCTCCTAGGACAGGAAGTGTTGTTGTTGGCAGGATCTCCGAGTAAGCAACTATGCAATAGTTATCTCTAAAGACTACAGAACCCCTTCCCTCTTTGTCATTGAGAAGAGGACAGAGGGAAGATTCTATAGTTTTATCCTAAGATGACAACCATGCTTGTTCATAGATGCTGTATGGTGAGCGAATGTTGTCCTCCTAGGACAAGAAGTGCTATTGCTGGTAGGATCTACAGGAATGCAACTTTGCAATAGTCATCTCTAAAGACTACAGAACCCCACCACTCTATGTTATGTAGAAGGGGAAAGGATGCGTTTTCTGTAGTTCTATCCTAGAGTGACAACCCTGTTTGTCCATAGATGCTGCATGCAGTGAATGTTGTCTCCCCAGGGCAGGAAATGTGTTGCTAGCAGGATCTCCAAAAAAAGGGAAAATAAGCTTTAAAAAAATAATTAATATATATAAAGATTGCTTAAAAGCATGAGAAAATGTGTTATTATGCTTAGTGTAATATATACAAAGAGTGAATGGGGCTCTAATGACCTGCACTTACAGTCAGCATGGATGACAATCCTCTCAATCTCCTAATTAACTCCAATGAAACTGTACAAACTATCCTGATTATGACTCTCAAACAGGGGCAGACTGACCATTCGAGCACTCGGGCACTGCCAGGGGGCCCGAGGTCAGTAGGGGGCCCCATGAAATGCCCATGGCACCTTTTTATAGGCTTTTTTGGGTGTGGGCAAGGACACAGGGGCCCCATGATCCCCTATTGCCTGGGGGCCCCATGAGTTGTCAGTCCGCCCCTGCTCTCAAACCTCATCTAACAACCTATTAACATTGCAAAAATTGGGCAAGCAGGAAAGGAAATGTTAAAAATCCAAGTTCTTTGAAATTGCAAATTACCCACTAAAATAGCTGCAAGCCTTAAAATATTTGTAAGCATTCAATGTTATAGACATTTTCTAATACACATATAACTATGCAGGTATCATATCTCCTTTTGCTTAGTTTTAACATTATATTTCCTACCTTTTATTAACAAGGTTAAAACGTTCTGTCATGTGACCATGCATCTCTTCTTTCTTATAGTGGGGGTGGGGTTACAGGACACTGTGCAGACACACAGGGTGCCTGTATTCCATAGTCTGTTAAGCCTGAGGCAAGATGCAGACTGTGCTTGAGCAAGGGGCAAGCTCAAGAGGCAGGCTGTGATTAGGAGGATGTGTGTGCCAGAGACAGGTTGTAATTGGTTGGGGGGTGTGGTGACTGAACAAACTACCCAATACAGGCATGCTGTGTGTCTGCACAGTGTGCTGTACCTCTAAATGACCAGCCAAAAGATGAAAACTGACCACGTTAACACAGATCAGCTTCTGTGCTTTGAGTGGTCAGTTTAGAACAAGAAAGAAAGGTGACTGGCAGGATCAACCAGGTACTTCACATGGAATCAGGGGCAGATCATTTGGAAACTCGGGCACTGCCCGAGGGCTCGGGAACAGTAGGGGGCCCCAAGAGATGGCCCTGGTACTTTCTTCATAGGCTTTTTTGAGTTTGGGCAAGGACACAGGGGCCCCATGATCCCCTATTGCCCGGGGGCCCCATGAGTTGTCAGTCCGCCCCTGCATGGAGTGATAGGGACTATAATTGATAGAAGACACATACGGTATGTGAACACACACATAGAAAAAAAGAAAATATTTAGGGTAACATATACTTTAAGAAGAACTCTTATTCAGTTCTGCCCCACCCACTCAAAACAGTCAACTGCACCCATTCCAGTCATGTTCCCCATACATCTACTATAGCCCACTCACTCAGACAAGTCACCTTCTCTCTTTCCAGTCTTGATCCCCCTATATCTACTATGCCCCACCCATTCAGACAAGTCACCTGCTCAGCTTTCAATCACGTCTTTTCTACAACTATTAAGGTCCACTCACGAAGATAAGTAACCTGCTACCTGTAAGATAAACCGGATTCCTAGCACCCCAAAAACCAGTGTGGACGTGTGCTCATGTGTATTGCACACAATCTCATTTTTCCAAGTGAAGTGGCAATGTTAGATGTATTGTGCCAGTTTGTCGCGTGCATGTCTGTGCATGTGCGCATACCATTTAATGTGCGCACTTGGAGCCCAGTAGCCTATTTAAACTGATTTGTCACTACGAGCAGTTGCTGAATGGCCTTCAGCTTGTTCCTGTGTTACTGAGACCTGATCTGCTGTACCTGCTTACCTGTGCATGACTCGACTTGCCATTGGACTTTGCTTCTTCTCCTGCCTCAGCTCTGTTCACCTAATTACTCTGTCCTTGGCCTGTTTATTGGATGTGTATTTGCCTGCTGATTCTGTACTGCTTTGCCTGGCTGTTACTGACCTTGGCCTCCCTTCGGGACTTGCTTTGCCTGCTGTTTCGGTCTTGAGGTTGCTAACTGCTGCCTGTCTCCTGGCCCTGATTCCATCTCCTGCTCTGGTGCCAAGCTGCTCCTGCGTTCTGTTTTGAGGACTGTGATCACCAGCTCTACCCACCTACAGAGTGGACACCATCAGCCAGCTACTACGGCACTCTTGCCACTGCTTGTACTTACACTCTGTCTCCAGCTTTGTAGGGCTGGAGGTGCAAGAAACGCCTCCACAATATTCCAATATTCACCAGGTACATGATACCCCCCTTCCTGTTATGTTCCCCCTACATTTAATGTGGTTTACACACTCAGACAAATCACCTACTAGCCTTGCAATCATGTTCATCCTACATCTTCTATAGTCAACCCACTCAGACAAGCCAACTGCTTCCTTTCCAGTTGTGTTCCCCCTACATCTTCTGCAGTCCACCCACTCAGACTAATCACCTGCTTATCTTTTAATTATGTTCCCCTACAGCTAATATGGTCTGCCAACTCAGACAAGTCACCTGCTCCTCTTCCAATATTGTCCCCCACCACATCTGAGGTCCACCCAATCAGATCATTCACCTGCTCTCCTTCCAGTTGTGTTCCCGCTACATCAGGGGTGGACTGACAACTCATGCGGCCCCTGGGCAATAGGGGATCATGGGGCCCCTGTGTCCTTGCCCACTCTCAAAAAAGCCTATAAAAAAGGTACTGGGGGCATTTTATGGGGCCCTCTACTGACCCCGGGCCCCCGGGCACTGCCCGAGTGCTTGAATGGTCAGTCTGCCCCTGCCCTACATCCACCAAGGTTCACCCACTCAGACTAGTCATCTGAACTCCTCTTAATCATGTTCCACATACATCTACCAGGGTTTAACTAGTCAAACCAGTCACCTACTGTCCCTTCAGTCCTGTTCCCCCTATGTCTCCCATGTCTACTTCAAATTGTATTCCCCCTTCATCTAGTTTGTTTCACCCTCTCCGACTAGCGACCTGATCCACTTCTAGTCCACCCACTCAGAAAAGAGACCTGCTGCCCTTCCAGTAAGGTTCCTCCTATTGTAAGCCATGTACCGGGGTGGGCTCCCCAGGATACAGTGAAGTCACGAACGAGGAAAGCAACCCCAACACCAGCTTTTGCCACAACAGAATTTTACTTAGATGTGGCAAATAAACACAACCGCAAATGCTGGGAACATACAATAAATTTACATACATCCAGCCCAAAGGCTGAGACCCTTGTGCTGCACAGCACAGCGCCTTCTGATGGATGAAGGTAGAATGTGTAGTAATTTACCTACTGGTGGGCATAACTAAGCTGCCACACCTTACCCGTTATTACCCTAAAAGAGCAGGAATCAGTGTATGGGTGTATGGTATGGGCAAGCCTGCGGTGCAGCACAACAGCTTACAATCTTACACAAATCTACAGTATTCCCCCTCCCGTAACTGGTCCTGTAGCACGTGCCTGAGTATTCCTTCTGAGCAAAATGCCAGTCTGGCTTGAGTTTGTGGGATTTTTATCAGCTCTCCAATGTGAAATGTCACTTTAAGTTATGGAGTCCTTCCATTGCACAGTAACAACACTTGTGGCCTGACACAAACAGAGACCCTAACTAACTAACTATAGGCCTGGTCTCAGTCTATAGGCGCCAACACTGAAATGAGGTGCGTGCACGATCTTACCGACCCGGGTCTGCTTTGCATCCGCTGGTGACTCTGAACAGAACAAATGTCTCAACAACAAGTATGCGATATCGCAGTATATGTTGCGTTGTTCTACTGCTCTCATCAGCATTCCTGGCAGCAATCTTCCTTTCTCTGAACAGGATCAGGGTCTTGGACACGATCAGCTTCACTTAGCCGCAGCTCTGGTTACTGAGAGATGCATTCACACCTGGATGTCATTGGATCTTCTCAGCTCACACGGCCCCTTCGTTCAGCATCGTCCAAAACATGGCTGCAGTCTCCTCTTCCTGTTCACTAAACTCCATGTGAAAAATACCCCACCTCTTATTGAATATAGAAATATCTGTGCAGTCTGAGGCTGTGATAGAAAAACAGTGACATCTTGTGGCTAAACCGCAGAATGTCACTCCAGAACGTTTAATTTACTGCACACAAACAGTGTTCAAACAGTGAGAGCTGTTTACCCATCTCACACTATATCTGCTATAGTCCACCCACTTTAGACAAGTCACCTATTCCCTTCCAGCAATGATCCCCCTACTTCCCTCTACTTTGGTTCACCTACTCAGAACAGCCATCTACTCTGCTTCTAGTCATGCCCCGCCTATATTCACTATGGTCCATCCACTCAGACTAGTCACCTGGTCCTCTTCCAATCATCTCTCCTCTACATATATTATGGCCCACCCACTCAGGAAAGTCACCTGCTTCCTTTCCAGTCATGTTCCCCCTTCACCTACTTTGCTACCTCTTTTGGCTAGTTTGTAACACTGATCTGTCACTTTTACCTGTGAGTAACCAGTTATATTAAATTTGACAGTTCAACCTTTGTTTGCTTTTTATTAAACAAAAGGAAAAACTTGGATGGATAAAAAATATAGGTCAAAGTTGTACTTAGGTTCTGATTAAAGTGTTGAGTTGGCACTATTCCTAAAGTACTATTGATGTAGGAGTATTGATGTTCTATTTACAAGAGTTTCGTGTGATCTAAGAGAAGAAATATTTATGCTGTAACTGTGAAAAACATACACTTCAGTCATGGGGAGTGCCCATTGGTTATAAACCACAAGGGAATGTCATTTAGTATGCTAAATCCCAGTATTTAATAAACATTTGGCATATTTAAAAACAAAATGCATGTTTTTACTGTTGTTTATCTTTTTCACATTTCTGTGCTGCTTATCACTGGTAGCCCTTTTGCAATTGCTTCCCATCTACATGTGCTCCAGTAATTGATACATGACTTTTCCTAAGGGCAGGTTTCCCAATGAAGACAACAGGGGACCATGCCTGTCTAATGTGTGTTGAAACAGCCATTTGTGGTCACCACTGGAAGCCCATTTGACAGGTTGACTATGCAGGAGAACAATTGGGAGACAAGGACAGAGCATTGTCTCCACATTACAGGAACAAAGACCCTCTTGGCAGGATCACTAGGTTCATCATTCATTCATTCATTCATCATTTTAATGTAATCTGAAGATTTCAAAAAGATTGACATTTAGGCCTCATGCACACTGGGCACTTGCCC